TCATATCTTCCAAGAAAATGACAATGGCGCCTCCTACAGGCATCACATGGAAACGATATTTCTGCCATATGCTAGGGAAAGGTTTGGTAATAACTTTATGTTCCAGGATGACAATGCCATTGCTCGCAGTGGGTGTATTGTACAGGATCATCTCAACCAGAAGGACGTTACAAGATTGCCATGGCCAGCAAAGTCTCCAGATTGTAATTTCATTGAGAACTGTTGGGCAGAATTGAGCCGGAAAGTTGCTAACCACGACCCTGTAGCTGTGTTGCAGTGTCTTCTAGTGACAAGTTGGAATGAAATTATGATGGATTACATCAATAATCTCATCGATAACATTCAACGTCGCCTTGCGGAGGTTATTAGAGTACGAGGAGGACCAACCAAGCACTGAATATTTAATATAGACTGTTTGTAATGAAGCACAAAGCTACACAACGGACTGTCTGTGCTCTGCCCACCACGGGTATCGAAACCCGGATTCTAGCGTTGTAAGTCCGCAGACATACCGCTGTGCCACTGGAGGCGACAGGCATTGTTTGAATAATCGAATTATTACAACAACTCGAAATTTTCAAATAAATCGTTTGTTTGTTTAATAACTAGCAAGACCCCTAGTGGGTCAGCAGTCAGTCTGAAGGCGTATAACGTTAAAAACCGGGTCTCGATACCCGTGGTAGACACAGCACAGAAGATACCACATTGTGTAGTTTGTGCTTAACTACAAACAAACATAATTTTTGTGCAAAGCTAAATAAAGAACTATCTGCGTATAGCTACCTCTACTTTTGAACTGGTAATAGCTACCCCTAATTTTGAGCTGATAATAGCTACCTTAATTTTAAACTGGTAATAGCTACCCCTAATTTTGAACTGATAATATCTACCTCTAATTTTGAACTGATAACAGCTATCCCTAATTTTGAGCTGGTAATAGCTACCCCTAACTTTGAACTGATAATAGCTAACCCTAATTTTGAACTGATAGTCTAGAGAAATGAGCCATTTAACGGCACTGACTGAGTAGCTGGATTGAACCGTCACTTTTGTAGAGCATCTACCGTCTACGGATGCGGATCGCGTTTTTGCGCCAACTTGCTGCGAACCATGAATTACCAGAATCACACTATGAGTACACTAACCAATAGGCCACGCCCAACCTATTATAAAATAATAAATGTTTGTTTGTTTTTTGAGTTTCGCGCAAAGCTACACGAGGGCTATCTGCGCTAGCCGTCCCGAATTTAGCAGTGT